AGGGCATATTTCAGAGACCTAGAACAACAAAACAATAAGGAAGCCCACTGCATGGGAGAACATATTTGACAATGCTATCTCTGATAAAGATTTAATCTCCAAAATCTAGAGGGAACTCATACAACTTACAAAAGGAAGATAAACAATCCAATAAAAATAAAAAAAATGGGCAAAAGACCTAAATAGTCACTTTTCGAAAAAGGACATACAGAAAGTTATGAGACATATGAAAACATGCTTAAAGTCACTAATCATCCAAGAGATGCAAATCAAAACAATAATGAGGTACCACCTCAAACCTGTTAGAATGGCTATCATCAACAAATCAACAAAGGACAAATGCTGGAGTCAATGTGGAGAAAAAGAAACCCTCGTGCACTGCTGGTGGGAATGCAGACTGGTGCAGCCACTGTGGAGAACAGTGTGGAGTTTCCTCAAAAAATTAAAAATGAAACTCCCATTTGACCCAGTAATCCCACTTCTAGGAATATATCTCAAGAAAACAAAAACACCAATCAGAAAGGATATTCGCACCCCTATGTTGATATCAGCACAATTTACAATAGATAAGATTTGGAAACAGCCTAAGTGTCCATCTGCAGATGAGTGGATTATGAAACTGTGGTACATCTACAAAATAGATGTAAAAAAGAAGGAATTTTTACCACTTGGGACAGCATGGATGGACCTGGAGAGCATTATGCTAAGCAAAATAAGCCAATCGGAGAAAGATAAATACCACATGATCTCACTCATTTGTGTAACATAATGAACAACATAAACTGATGAACACAAATAGAACCAGAGACATAGAAGTATTGAACAGACTGTAAAATCTAGGAGGGAAGGCAGAGGGTGAGGAGATAAAATATCAATCAAAGGACTTGTATGCATGCACATGATCAAAACCAAAAGACACACATTCTAAGGAGGTGAGGGCTTGTGCTTGGGGGAGGGGATTGCAGGGGAGAGATCAATGGGGGGAAAAGGAGACTCATGTAATACTTTAAACAATAAGAATTTTTTTTAAAAAGGAAATTTGTTGATAAAAATAAAGCATCATTTCAGGAGATTTCTATTATTTACTTACTTAAAGAATGAACTATTATAATTTATCATGAAGACAAATTGCTAATTTTAAAGAGACAGAAAAGCAATTGAAGTTTTATTTTTTCCTTAAATATCTCAATGTTTTCTCTAAAGCTACCTATATTGAAGTGTACAAGGCATTATCCAAAAGTAATTATTATGACTTCTTATGATTAATTTGAGAAATTATGAATAATTTATGACATTTATAAAAGATATGAATTTGAATATGATAAACACTCTATATTGTATCTACTTTGTTTCATATATATTCCATGTAACTAGGTAACTAGCTATGCACCTACCTATGTACTTACCTATCAATTATGGGTTCTGAAATCAGACTACCTGTGTATAAATCCAGCTATGTCACTATGATTCAAGCACTTGCTCTATGCTACTCCCTTTGTTTGCAAATATTCCAACTATGGACTAGGGAAACAATAAAAAAAGGCACAAAATGGAAAGAAAGCAAACCATGCGTACAAGAGAGGAAAATGCCCAGTCTATCTACATGAGAAGCTCTGTTTGGGGATTTAGGGAGAGATGAGGCAGCGGAGGCGAGGAGAGTGGGTCATTGATGAGCAGCCGGAAAAGCAAAGGAGGCTGATTCGGCACCTGCTATTTAAGGTCCTCTGTTTTGGCAGTTCTAGTTCCTGGTTCAGTTGATTTCTTTGGCCTAGAATCCTGTCATGAAGGCAGAAAGGCCTGCTTTAGGGGCAAAAATCTGGAAATGGAAAGCATGGAGTGAATCAGGGATAGAAGTTTACAAAGGAAGTACTGCGCACAGTTGGGTGACATAAAAAGAAAAAAAAAGAAGGTCATGTGGCCCAGCCGGCCAGCTGGCGTAGCTTAGTGGTTGAGCATGGGCCTATGAACCAGAAGGTCACAGGTTGGATTCCTGGTGAGGGCACATGCCCCGGTTTCGGGTTCAATCCCCAGTGGGCGGCGTGCAGGAGGCAGCTGATCCCTGGTTCTCTCTTATCATGATGTTTCTATCTCTCCCCCTCTCCCTTCCTCCCTGAAATCAATAAACATATATATTTTTAAAAATAGAAAAAGAAAAGGCCACGTGAGGGGAAACATCAGCCCTGTCCATGTTATGCCCTGGTTCCAAGCAGGACAGGAATTTCTATATTGGGAAGCCAGGGGATGTTGTCTGTGGATAGACGCAGTAACAAGCAAACTCGGCAGCCTTCTTTCCACATCAGTCAGAGACCTTGGGTGGTTGCTGTACCGTCCCGCCCGGGAAGAGGAGGCCGGGCTGGACAGTCTCATAGGACCCCATCCAGGTGGAGAGCTGCCTGCTCAGTGAGCCCCACAAACAAAGGGCTGTTCACTCAAATCAGAGCGGAGCAGTATGTGACCACCACGCACCTGAGAAGCCTGACAAGAGTGTTGTGGCGGCTCCCCGCCCCATCCTTCCCCAGAGCAAAGGCTGAGTCCTGTGCAAAGCACTGGAGCTGCAGCCGCCTTATCCTCAGAACACCGTTTTCCTGCAGCTCAAGCAGGCCTCAGCGCTTGCTGCTAACAGTAGGTGGGAAGCACACTGCTGCCGCGCCACAGGGCTGGCTAATCAGGCCTTATTATGCTGTAGAAAGCTTCTTGATGTGCCTTTTAAAACTTTACCACCGACACACCTACCGTCTGACACCGTACAATTAGCCCCGTGATTTAGGAGCCACGGCAGCGGCAATATTACCACATCAGAGGGATCATTATTTGAGATTCAAAGCCGCCCGTGTGCACACAGGGTTCCTCTGCCCCTTCTAGGCAAGGCTTGAGGGTGTTAGTCTTTGTATTGTTGAAAAGTGTTGATTTTCCAGAGCAATTTCTCCTTAGAAAACCACTGTGCTACATTGTCATCTGATTCATTACACCCTGCCCTACTGGGAAATGTTATCCCTTCTCTGGACTGAGAAAATAGCACCTGCTGAGCATTTCTTTATGTGTTTGCTTCAGAAGGATATCTGTTTGGGGAGCTTTGTGACATTTCAGGCCACCAAATGATCATACAGAAAACCTCTGTGGCAGCTCCATGTAATTTACATTCTCATGTAGCATCCCCAGTACAATCTCCCCCACTCCCTGCCTGCCACACACACACACACACACACACACACACACACACACACAGGATCAGACACTCAAAAGACACAGGCACTCAAACAGAAAACACTCAGACCCAGAGGCTCACACAGACACACATAGCTGCCCCTCCCTCCCTCCACACACACACACACACACACACACACACACACCTATGCAGAGGCCAGACTCAAATTCCATTAAAAAAAAAAAGACAGACAGGACATCACTACAGTGGTACATTGTCAGAGAAAAATGATACTGAAAGGTCTCTCAAACATTCCAAGGAGGCAAGGAACCAGATATAAATACTATGAATGAAATTCTGATGTAAAAAGGTAATCAGAGCCTGTGACATACCATGTACAAATGTAGTTTTGAATAGCAAGGACAGAACATTAAAAACACAGGTTCTTAGAATATTCCAGATATAAACTTGTCAGGGCATCGAGAATAGCCAGTGGTCATGAGACTGTGACAAGAGCTTTCTTTCTTTAAATTGCTGACACTATTCCAGAAGCCCCCATTTTCTCCTCCTTTGCCCGCTCCATCCAACCTCTGCCTCACCCCAGGCCTTCACCTCACTATTGCCTGTGTCCATGGGCTATGCATACATGCATATATGTTCTTTGGTTAATCTGTTCACTTTCTGGCAATAAGAGCTTTCTAAACTATACACTAAACCACGGTGCTCCTTCCTCTAGCTTGATGTTTTGTCCAGGAGGGCATGCGTTTGGGGAGCCCTGTTCACACACTACCTCTTCCAAGTGGCGATGCAAATTCTCTGGTGAGGGGTGTCTGGCAGACATGGGGAGGGAAATGAAAGGTTTTAGGATAGTGCATAATGTTCCTGCTGGTGCTGACTTTTTAACTAGGGAATAAGAAAGTTCCCACCTTTCTCAAATCTGTTTCTGTCCATCTGTAGTCTGTGGAACTGAGAGCTCTCCTGCTGCAACTAAGAAAATAAAAAAGCTGAACCTTAGATACCAAAACATTTTAAAAGCTGATTTTTGTTATTGTTTTGGTGGTGGGAGGTTCCCATTCTTTTCTCTGCTTTAGTTGCTGTTCAGAAACCTGCGACATTTCTTGGGAGGTGCCAAGAGAAGAGAACATTTTTTTTTTGCTAAATTTCCAGCTGGAACTTTTAAGAATTAAAATGTCCCAATATGCCAGTACTCATGCTATTTCTAGTCATGTTTTGAATCTGATTTGACTAAAAATATAGACTTTTAGATTCTGGCAGAAGGAAAGAGACTGTTTCTAATTCCAAAGAAGAGAAAAAAAAATAGAGAAGGGAAGGGAAGGGAAAGGAAGAGAAGGGAAGGGAAGGGAAGGGAAGGGAAGGGAAGGGAAGGGAAGGGAAGGGAAGGGAAGGGAAGGGAAGGGAAGGGAAGGGAAGGGAAGGGAAGGGAAGGGAAGAAGAAGGAAAGAGGGGAGAGTGGAGTGGAAGGAAGAAGAGAGAGGGGAAGAAAGAGAAGGGGATGAGAGAGAGAGAGAGAGAGAGAGAGAGAGAGAGAGAGAGGGAGGGAGAGAATATGAAGGAAGGAAAGAAGGAAGGAAGGAGGGAAGAGGAGAAAGGAGAGAGAGAAGAAACTGAAGAATTTCCAATACTTTTCTATTTGTTTGGGGTTGGAGTGTTGGCTACTGGTCAGGTAAAAGGTCTATTGGCTGTTTGAATTATAGCAAGATTTAAAATAGAATATTGTCTATTTAAGTGCTGCTTCAAAAGTCATACCTCCTGATATCCCTAAATATCAATAATTTACATTTACATATTAGCATATCTTAAATATAGAATTTTTTTTTCTTTTATTATATCACAGATTCCATCAATGTATAGCTAAACAAGATTGAAGAAAATAATTGAATGTGAAGAACTGAAATCAATGTCAGAACCTCTAATGAGCTATAACCACAGTGAATTGCTACACCACCTGTTCCAGACAGACAGATGGAGGCCCTCTGGGGGTCATGGCTCCCCTTGTAAAGAAAGCTGGAATCACATGCATGCACAATTTTGACAGAACAAAAAAAGACAAAGGAACTGACACTTAATAGGAGATCATAGTGACTTTGTTAAGAAATATCAGCACTCTCAGCTTCTGACTCCCTCTATTTCCTGTCATTTTAGGGTTAGGTAGGTGCATCATTCCTCAAGCACCTTTCACTAAGAAGAACAAGAAGACAAATCTGCATACTCGGAGGCTCTGGCAAGCATGCAGATGGAATAAGCTGAGTATGTTGGGTAACAGAAATAAAACACAGAGCTGTATTATATTTGGTTCCGTAATGCCTAGCAGCAACTTTACATTCATATTAGATTTGGATGATTGACAATAGACTGAAGTTGGGGGAGGGGAGGATAGTGATATTAAGGAATAGATAGATGGAAAAGAAAGGGGCACATTAGATAGAAATTCCAATTTTAGGATAGTGTGTGTGAATTGTCCTATAAGGAGATTCTTTGGAAGGTATACTTAAAGAAGAAAATAGTTAATTGTTGTTCATTAAAAATATGGTCTGTAATTTTAGTAATCAGATTAATAAATTTCACATTAAAATGAGACTGTAGAAGATGGCAGATTACTTCTTTGTCCTATGCAAAGTATGGCTTTATTATTTTTTTTTATTAATGTTTGAGTTTTTAAGGTTTTAAAATCCTTTCCATTTGCTCTGGAAGGTATATATTCCATTATTAGAAAAATGTGTTTGTATTTATTATATAAACAATAGATTGATCATTCATTCATTCATTCATTCACTGTACAGCACTATCTTACAGGCCATTTAAAATTATTGGTTCTTACCAACTAAAAGCTTTGAGCATTCCCTAGTCATTTTGACAAATAAAACAAAAACAAAAAACAAAACACCAAAAAACCATACAACCCATACAAAACAATTTCCAGTCATTTCCAAACATTCAACATTCTGGAGAAGTCTTGAAAAAGGATGTGAATATAAAGTAAATACTATAGTTTTTAACTCCAAGGAATAAACAGTCTGGTGGGGAAATGGAAATACAAGTATAATTGTTTTGCTGATGTCTTGCTCCACATTCCTGTCATTTTAAAACTTCTGTGCAATATGCATTTAGAGTTCATTTTTTCTCTTCCCTGGACTCAGCCTGGAATGGTGCTCATGGGACTTCAGCCGAGTGTAAGCCAGACAGCTAGGGCAGTGGATGCCCCCTCATGTAGTGGACGTGACTGGCAGGGCTGGTTCCATCTGGTGCTGACGTCCTCTGCTGCAAGAATTCTCTTCATATAGGATGTGTGTTGTGAATTGGAGGGGGGGTGGCATCATTTAGTCTCACTCTGTATCTCCATTGCCGAGGAATCTGTGTTCAGAGAAATAGCACCGACTCCCCTTGGCTCTGCCAGCAGCAAATACTCCTCCTTTGTTGTCTGGGTTGGTTTTTTATCATGTGGCTGAGCAACCAACTGAGCACCCATATGGCTAATACTCATCTCTTCCCCTGGGGTCCCCCAGATGGAGCCGTAGGAACAACTGAGGCCCTCTTGTTCACTTTCTCTGGACCACAGAATACTGGAATGGGGTGAGAGTCATTCTTTTACCCTTCCCAGATACAAATTGTCACTGTTCTCATAAGCCATTAGTCACGAGATAGTAATGTAGATTTCTTATGTTCAGAAGTCTATAGACCAGAAAGGGGACCACCCTGGATGGACAAGTGCACTCCTCAACTTCCAAAGAACAGGATATGCATGGCTAGGGAAAAACAGTAACTTTATGGTGGAAAAACCTGGCTAACACTACCTTGACCAAGACACCAAGGTTAACCAAGTTATGATGATACTCTGTTTCCCCGAAAATAAGACAGTGTCTTATATTAATTTTTGCTCCCAAAGATGCGCTAGGTCTTATTTTCAGGAGATGTCTTATTTTTCCATGAAGAAGAATACGGTACACATTTATTGTTAAATGAAAATAAAGAGAATTTATTACCTGTATATGGTATGGTAGTACGGTAGTTGTCAACATAAACCAGACAAACTGTGAATCCTACAGTATCAAGAATTTACTCATTTATTCAATGACAATCATGTCATTATCTTCTGGAACATCATCATAACAATCCAATTCCTGAATTTCCTGGTGAATTTCTTGTGACTCCATTTCTTTCAGATCAGTGGACCAAATCTCTCATGTTTAGCCTGGGAGGGGGCTTATTTTCTGGGGGATGCCTTATATTTCACTCAGAAGGAAACCTGTAAGTAGGTCTTATTTTCAGAGGATGTCTTATTTTTGGGGAAGCATGGTATGAACCCCCAGGTATGAGAAGATGAGAGAGACACTTTATCACTGCTGTTCTTCTCCAAACCTATAACTGTAATCTGATCATGAGGGGAACTACAGATAAATCCAAGTCAAGGAGTACCCTACAAATTTCTGACTAGGACTCATAACTGTGAAGGTCAAGACAAATAAGTAAAGACTGAGAAACTGTCAGAAGTGACTAAAGACACATAATGACACAATGCTATCTAATACCTGGATTGAATTCTGGAACAGGAAAATGACATTAGGTAAAAACTTGTACAATCTGAATAAAATCTGAAATTTAGTACATAGTCATGTATCACTGTTGGTTTTTTAGCTTTTTTAATATACCTTGGTAAGTTAAGATGTTTATCTTAGAGGAAACTGGGTGAAGGGTCTATGATTGTTCTATCATTGCAACTTTTGTGTAAAACTAAAATTACTCCAAAATAATGTGTCTTAAATTATCAAGGAAAGAATGGAACAATGTTTGGCTCAACAGCATGGCAATGGCCTTATCAGCTAGGATTTTATATGCCTTGTGTGGAGCACTTGAAGGCTTTTGATTAGAGGGGAAATGTGGTTAAGTTTTTATTCTAGAAAGATTGAATTAAAAGTTGTGTGGAGGAAAGGATTGATTGTGAACTGGCTGAGGACAAGAATCTGGAAGGGTGGTGTAATGAGCTTAAATATAAGTTCCATCAAGAAGGCTATTATAACCTTTGAAGAAAGAAATCAAGTGAGCCTCTGTGTGTGTGTATGGTGTGTGTGTGTGCATGCACATATGTGTGTATGTGTGACAGACAGCATCAAAACAAAGGTATTTCTTGTCAAATTCTCAAAAGGCCAGTGTATACATTTTTAATAAAAATAAAACATAGATCACTGTTTATATTTGATTGCATTAGTTTTCAATTATTTTAATACTAAAAAAGAAAAAGAGAAAAAAAAAAGAAAACCAGACAAAGGACATGGCATCATCTGACCTGAAAACAGCATTGTAGATTTGGTTTAAAAAACAAAAAACAAAAAACAAAAACCTTCCATTTTTTTATCCTCTCTCCGGTATTAGCTATGCAATTTTGATCTAATCACTTCAGCAAGACCAGAGATTTTCATTTTGAAAACAAGAAGATTGAAATAGAATGACTTTGATTTCTAAAATAGCTATCAGAGGTATTGCAATGAAATTGCTATCTTTGGAACATTATTGGATTAGAACATGATTAATCAGTTTCCTCCCAGGCCTAAAGAAAATTAATAATTGTTGAATGCTTATTATTCTAAAAATATTTTTTATCATTAATGATTTTTTTAATCCTGTGAAGGTAATGTTTGCCTAAACATCATACAATTACTATATTAACAAGAATTAATATCAAACTTTGCTGTCTTACTAAATTCCTATGAATTTCAATATGAAGATTCATGAGATAGGCACTTCTGAGCAATAAAATTTGTTTGGTAACTATGGAAATGGTTTCAGTTTTAACACTTTCATAAAAATACCTTTAATTCTTTAAGACTTCTGGAAAAGTGATCAGCCATGAAAACGTTAGAAATACTGTTCTGCAATGGATATTCACTGATTAAAAAGAGCCAAAATGTTGATAAACTTTTCTATAAACCTGCACTCATTTTTGTGTGTGTGTGAACTATTACTAATATAGGAAAACATTTATTCTGATAAGGTAATGTTGACCAATTTAGCACATTAAAAAAAAAAAAATTCCAAGCTGAGAAATTTGGTATGATTCCACTGAGAGCAGATATCAAGTAAATAAAACTTATTCATCATTTAATCACACCAATTTTTTTTTCTGAAGGAGGCTGAAGCATTCAATGTAATGATAGTATTTACATGAATATGCTTATCTATTTTTTATTGTTTACAGTGTCTAAATTATTTCAGCTCAGAATTTTTTTTGACATTATACAAAAACTTCACTTGGAATTAAACAATAGACTGAAACATATAAATATTTTATCTTTAAAAATATAGTATTGCATTGATGAAGCTCTTATTAGTAACTTACACAATATTTATATCATATAATTCTTTCCCACGACATATAACACTTGAAGTCACACCTGAATTTTTACTGTTTATCTTTTTAAATAAAGCTTAATATCAATCTAGGGCAGATAAACATATATGGTTACAATTGAGATTAATTATATTTTAGGGTCATAAAGGAGGCCTTCAAAACTAACAGAAAGAAAATCTTTGCAAGGTGCATATTGTGATTTTACAAATGATTTCTACTGCCTATAAAAATTGATAGTAGAGAGTGCTTTGGCCTTGCCTTATAAATCAGAATAGTAAATCCAGCTCTCATCTGTCAGAAACCACTGAAGCTCATTTCTACTCAACATTTATTTGGCTCTGTTTCAAGTTTGTTTTTATTTTTAATTTCATGAAAGAATATGAAAAGCCAACATCGAGCATGAAGGAAAAAAAAATAGATTCAACTCAGCAGAACACACTAAAATTTGCATATGATCTAAGAAGGGAACTTGATATTAGAATGAATTATTCTGACAGTTTTAGAGAAATCTAGAAGGAAATGGACATCTCCAATGGGACATATCCTCAATACATTTTAAATTAATATTACATAAATAGTCTCATAGTTTCAATTTTATAATAACCCACTGCTTTTACCACAGTTTTCTAAGCTTTTTTTTTAAGAATAGCATTCTGTTCCTTCTATTAAGCCCAACTTACTTTTCCACTATTTTGAGAATCTTCCAGGTGTTAGTATAACAAGGCCAAACATGCTTCTACAAGATCCATCTCTATGTGTTTCTATGGTGTCTTTTAGTCACTGGGACAGCCTTGACTTTTACTTTTGTATCCATGACCCATATGATAAATATCACCAGAATGATAACAAAAGAGGAAAGACTAAGTAGAACACAATATTAAAGAAGCATTTTTAAAGGAATCTAAGAAGCCATAGCAACATTTTTCCTTTTTTTTTTTAAATATAACATTAGAACTCATAGTCCTTGATCTTCCAGCCTGTTATTTCAGACCACTGAGCCATGTTACCTCTCTCAATAAGTAGACAAAGACTTATAAAGGCCTTTGCAGTGTGAGACGACTTTGGAAAATACAATGTATCTACCCTGTTTCCCCAAAAATAAGACAGTGTCTATTATTAATTTTTGCTCCCAAAGATGCGCTAGGTCTTATTTTCAGGGGATGTCTTATTTTTCCATGAAGAAGAATATGGTACACATTTATT